GCGGGAGCGGGAGCCGGCGGCTGGGGCGATGGAGCCGAGCCCCGCCGTGTCCCCCGGGCCTTCTCGCTCCTTCAAGGAGGAGCTGCTCTGCGCCGTCTGCTACGACCCTTTCCGCGACGCCGTGACTCTGCGCTGCGGCCACAACTTCTGCCGCGGGTGTGTGACCCGCTGCTGGGAGGTGCAGGTGGCCCCTACCTGCCCGGTGTGCAAGGACCGCGCGGCCCCCGGCGACCTGCGCACCAACCACACCCTCAACAACCTGGTGGAGAAGCTGCTGCGCGAGGAGGCCGAGGGCGCGCGCTGGACAGGCCACCGCTCCCCGCGCCTCTGCCGCCTGCACCGCGGCCAGTTCAACCTCTTCTGCCTCGAGGACAAGGAGCTGCTGTGCTGCTCGTGCCAGGCCGACCCCCGGCACCAGGGGCACCGCGTGCAGCCGGTGAAGGACACTGCCCACGACTTTCGGGTAAGCGCGACCCGGGTGCGGGAGGTGGCCGAGCGCGCACGTGGACTGGAACCCAGCATCCCCGACCCCGCTGCTCCCGCCACTCCAGCCGGCCAGAGCTGGGTGTGCCCGGTCCTGCCTCTCTTCCTGCTGCCAGCTGGCTGCTGCCTCCTCGGGGCCCCTACTCCCTGACTCTGGTAACCCGCAGAGGCTGCCTTCTTCATCAGGGCTAGCCCAGGAGGCCTGAGATGGGAGAAGAGAGAATGTCAACAGGAATTGTGAGAACTGGGGTTGTAGGGTGTTCTCAAGACAGTCCCGCCCACCTCTGAAGGGCTGAGGCCACGCACCTTTTCTACCAGCCGGGTGGGGCCGGTAGGAACAAGGTGTGGGTAAGCCCAGGAACCCTGGAACTGGGCACACTCAGGGTAGAGGTGCAGCACCCCAAGACCTGGCTGGGATATGGAGCCTTTAGCCTCCCCCCCCCCCTCCATCCCTTCCCGAGCTGGCCCAATGTGTTGTGTAGCTGTGGGGAGGTCAGCGGGTGTATTTTCCATCACTTTCTCAGCATCCCCACGCCTAGAGTTCCAGTGGCTATAAATAGAGGGAGGAGCAACTTGTAGGGCAAAACTAACATGGAGAATTTTTTGGTATAGGAAGGGAAAATGA